ATCCTGTAGTAAAGATTACCCAATTATGATGTAAGGGAATATCACACAAACAAATTCATCAGCTTCAGTGCAAAAGAATTAAAAGGAGGGAATGGTCTAAGTCTAAGGCACTTCTTCAATTCAGGCAGACCTTTTTTTTGTTACTTTGCCGCATATGTGAATGTCCTGCTGACTCCTGCTTTTTCGGGCAGTCTGTCAAGGTGCTTAATTGCTATTAAAACAGATTTTATACTAAAAAACCCTGACTGAAAATATTAGAGGTTATACGTTCAGAAAATCACATAAAATATCACACATTTAACATCCTATGCACCTGCAGGGCTTAATAGTGAGTTTAATTAAGGTACATCTGTATACATTACAGCTTTGATATCCATATTTGTGTAAAAAAATGTAGTAATATGTAAGGATTATTCTGTTTCAATAGTGTTCACAGACAAAGACTGAAAGGAAATTGTACCATGTTCAAGGTCTTGCTTGTCGTACCACGGTTCCTCCTCCTTGATCTCAAATTCTTGCTCCACAATCATGTCTGTCAACATCTTCACGGTCTAAATCACACAGTTTGAGGATGTATCCGCTTTTCAAACATTGCAGAGGCAGAGTTTCACAAACGGTGATAAACCGTGTAGTCCGAGTCCTTCCTGCCGCTGTCTGCACGCCTGCAACCGGCACCGGTGTGCGCTCATCTCCGGACGGACAGACAGATCTCTCTCGCTGCTGCTGCGTTGTAAACCCGTTTCCGGTTTACACTTCAAAATAAAAGCAGTCAATGCATCTTTTTTGACAGGTGAGAGCCGACTGGTCATTGTGGACCAAGCCCCACCTGCTGGTAGCTATGGCTGGTAGCAGGAAAAGGTATGTTGGTGGTGATTTAGAAATTCATATAAGTGTTGTTTTCCCCACCATGTGCTCCTAGTTGACAAAGAAAGGTTTAATAAACACTTCAGTGCTCACCAGGATATTTTTAACACCAGGCCTCAGGAGTGGTTCTCCTGGTAAAAATGGAAAAACGTTAGAAAACCTGATATGAAAATACAATGGGTAACAAAATAAAAGGGGTTAGTATGTGACATACTAACCCCTAAAATATATGCCTGCTATGACTTGACATACTGTATGTCAAGTCATAGCAGGCATATATTTTAAACACTCAATAATTAGCCAACCTTATTTTTGTCACATGAAGAGTATAGGCCTAACTGGTAACGATAAACACAATTAATAATATGCATCTTACTAAATTAGTGTTTAGAAAAATACAAGCAAATCAAAAGCAACATTTAATAGCTAAAACATTTTTGTCATAACAACATTTGAAAATAATTAAATAATATGAAGCCTCAGACTAAGCTTAAAATAATATCACAGAACTTCTTTTTCCCACAAAGTTGAATTCTGAGCTCTTATTTTGAAGATATAGGGTGTCATTTCCGGTGTAGACGTGTTTCTCGGTTAATTGACCGTTACACCTGCTCCTATGGTGTTGTTCCTTCCTCCCTTAGAAACCGCAGCCCACAGTCCATGTGACCAAAACATTTATTCAAGCTAAATAACATATTATCTTCAAAATACACTTAAAGTATCAAAAGTATCAATACCAGATATTGTTACTACAGTCGAAAAAATGAACATACCACTCTTAATTGGATTATACGGTTAGTCCACTTTCTAGAGAGGAATATTTTTTTTATAAAAACACAGAAATATGGATATTTTGAGGAAGAAAATCAGCAGCTTATATTTTGTATAGTTCAGTTTAAATTAAGAAGATTTTCTCACAGCATTGAGCACCTTTTAGAAGACTCTTTACTAAAAAAACATTTAAAAAAAATAATGATTTGGTAATAAAATACTCATATGAAGTACATTTGTACTAAAATCTAACAACAACAGGTGTCATACTTGGAATTACAATTCTGCATTTATTTCAAATCAAATCAAATCAAGTTTTATTTATATAGCACATTTATAAACGATTTTTGGTCGAGCCAAAGTGCTGTACATATAATAAAAATAGCCTACAGTAGAGACATTTTACAGCAAATACAACAGCACAGATTGTTCAGAATATCAGTATGAGAAAAACGACACCCTCTATCCTTAGACCCTCACATCGTACAAGGAAAAACTTCCAGAGAAAACCCACAGTTTAAAGGGAAAAATGGGAAAAATGGGAGAAACCTCAGGGAGAGCAACAGAGGAGGGAACCCTCTCCCAGGACGGACAGACGTGCAATAGATGCCGTGTGTAAATCGAAGAGATAATACATTATACTGGGTTAATAGGAACAAGAGAATATAGATACAGACAGAGAGGGAAAAGGTCATTGGATAAAAAGTTATTCTTGATAACCCTCTAGAAAGATCTCATGAACTTCCCTACTCAATCTATATCAAGACCCGAGCAGTTCTATTAGATATAGGATAAGAAACAGAGATAGGGAGCACAACAACCTATCTCTTCGTCAGATGCACTCCCCCGCTTATCTAAGCGACTCTGTAGGCTACCCCGTTAAGGCCATAGACCAGCAGAGGGAAAATGGGGGGTGGGTAAGGGTAAGGGTTTTTAAGAATAAACCGCAAGGGAATAAAGGGAAAAAATATGAAATATAAGGTACTATATTTTTAAGTAATCCTATCTACTATTCCTATATTCGAATAATGAACGATTTGAAATCATCGGGTCACATGACAAGCACTTGAAAAATAAATTAGGCTTTTAAATAAAAGAAAATGCTGAATTTCACAACATTATTCCTATAAAATAGAAAGAAAGCTCTAAAATCACATACAAAGAAGTATATTTTACTTGTCCAGTCTAGTACTTCAATCCATAATCATCCAAAACAAACCCAAGATTAAGCATGTATACTCAAAGACAGTGTTGATGTTTTGTTGCTGCTCATTTTGGAGTTTCAGACATTTTGTTCTCTCAGGAGAAAAATAAAAACACTCAACCATTTGTGTTTTGCCTAAGACCAAAGTACAATCTTCTTAAAAGCCTTTCCATTAAAAGTCCAATTGTAATGAATACAATTTGCAAGCTGCATTATGGTGATGTGTTTTTCCATCACTAGGTGGCAGTGTAGTATTGGGCTCAATTCCCAGTACAACTCAACATTCCCAACATAAAAGTCTTCATTTTATTCAAAGAAAAAAGACACTTATTTATAGTAAATTATTCATTTGAACACAAAAGAAAACAACATGACACTGACATGATTTTTAAAATTCGTTTTATTATAATAAATGAACATGATCAGACGGTCCACAGAGTTTTGATTCACAGATTTAGATTTCTGTTTTGTTATCAGACACAGACAGAATGCATTCTTCATGGTGGATGTTTTCTCTGAGTAACATCCTGCCAGCTAATGATAAATGATAAGCCGCTCTGCACCCCGGAGGATGATGATGGGTACATCTTCACCCCACCGTTCTTTTCCCCCTAATTCACAAAAAAACATCCTTATGACGGTTGCCATAGCAGAGATGTATTGTATTTGTACTGGGGGTGTCTATTTGTAATGATATTGATATATCTCTTATTGTATTAATGACCAAAAGCATGCGATCTTCTGAAAAAGCTTTCTTGATAATGATGGTAGGGGATTCAGGGATTTTCTCCTTATTATTTAATGTCATGGTCAAGGCATGCTGAAGCATTTAGATACCTTTCAAGGTTAACCATAAAATAGTATTAACCTTTATAATTATAAGAAAAATCATAAGAAACAGTCACAGATATAATGTTTTTGTTTGTCCATAGAAGTGTACATTTCAAAAGATGCATTGTGAAATACAGAAATCAAGCATAAAGGGATCCTGTCTGTCTTAGCCTCCATGAACTTTCTCAAAAATGAACCACAACAAAAAATCCGTTAGAACACATATTCAGACAACCAACGCAATCTAGTCAGGTTCTTGTTTGTAATTGTTATAGTGAACTCCTTAGGTGGATGGAACAATAAAATACTTAATTGAATTGTTCCTCAGTAACACCCAGATGAGAAACATATTGCTCTGTGTGCTGCTTAAGAGCCTCAGTAGCCAGCGGAAAAGTACCAGTCATTGTGTCCTTTAACCGAGGAGGACACAAAGACCTTCCTCCAGATCTATTTATAACACAAGGTATTGTGCACTGTTCTCTGATATACATTTATTTGGGTGACTTAACATAACTGCTAATCAATGGCAATGACTCAATGATGACTGAGCTGAAACATCCGATTTGTGTTTTATTGCATTTTAATCCAAGCTAGCAGCAATGCTCGATGGATGTCTGTTAGTTTGTCCACCACTTTTGTCTAGACCAAAATATATCTTAATAATATGGGATGGGTTGCCATGGCATTTTTGTACAGCCATTCTTGGTTGCCAGAGGACGATACACATACTGATGCAGTATTCACATATCCTTTTAGTGCCACCATGAGGTTCAAATTGGTGATCTCAAATTTTGGCTCAAACATTTATCTCTTATTTAATCAATTATTCTTAAAGTCTTTGTCTTTCATAAATGAGAGTTAAACATATACCTAGAGACCTAATGACCTTCCCATCATCCTCAGCTGTACGTTGTGTTTAGAGCTAAGCGAATGTCACTATGCTAACACGCTAAGCTAATACATGCTATACCTGCTAAACACCAGCATGTTAGCATTGTCATTGTAAATATTTTGTGATTAGCATTTAGGTCCAAACAGCTGCTGTGCCTGAAAACAGCCTCACAGAGCTGAAATTTATTTAACAATAGTTCAGTAGTTGATAATAAATCGGGATAGAATATTATATAAATATGTCAGTATTTGTCACAGGTTTTTATCTCTTCTCTTATTCTGCTTATAGGGTCTCCTAGCCGACAGAACAACTGATTGTGTTTTGAGGCCACAGTTACATCTCAAAAACCGACTCTCTCAAGCCCGATTATTCAGCCAGGTTGAGGATTAGCTGCTGTAACATCACCGACTCTAAGGACACTTAGCTCCATCCCTTTCATCATGTGCTCTCCCCTTTTTGTGCTCCACCCTCAGTGTGTTTCCTCTCCTCCTCCGCCACCCTCCTGATGTCTCCATCTCTGAACTGCTGCTGTCAGTGAGATGAGAGAGAAAGCAGATCAGGAAGCAAGAGCTCTCTGCAGGGACTCTGCTTCTCAGAGCGATACAAAAAACTGTGATCTTTTTTATGTAGAATCAACTCTCTGTGTGTGTTTTCCGCCCAATCTACCATTACATGTGGCCTTTTGCTTTTGTTGATGCTTCACTGCCTTTTCATTTTGGATTTCACAGGGTGTGAAATGCCAAACGTCAGAATGGGACCCCATGCTCCATTTAAACCCTCGTGTTATTGTATCTCTAGAAGTGTGTTTCAGATGCAAAGCAAGGTGCTTCATTATGTTTTCTCTGTGGCAGTAAAGGCGTCTAACAGCAGCATTATAAAGGGATTGCAAGAAGAAGGAAGTCAGATAAACTAGGAGAGGAAATTGAAATATTACAGAGGAGGGGGCAAGCAAACAGGATGATTACCACTGTGCTCACCAACCAATTCACACATTCCTCTTCTTCCCTGCAGCGATTTGGGCGGCCGTGTTCTCTCTGCCATAGCGAGGAAGCATTGACATTAATCGCAGTAGCGATTGGTAATGAGTCGTTAAAAAAGAGAGATTTGGGGCTTTACTGATCCGTTTCCATACCAACTGTCTTAGCTGTGGGGACTGGATCCTCTCGATGTTTTGGGAGGGGGGGCTGGAGATGTGTGTAATGGGATTTGAAGGAAGTGCTTCTGGGTAGAGCATCCACACACACACACACACACACACACACACACACACACACACACACACACACACACACACACAATACATATACCAAAACCTCTGACTGTGTGTGCGCGCTTGTTTTAAGTTAATCTTCAAAGCTCTTGCAAAAAATTCATCCTGACAGGCAGAGAGCAGCGAGCCTTCTGCAATTTTATTTGACTGGTTCTCGTCCTTTTTTCCATGTGTTTTTCTATTTTTTTTCCTCCATTGCCTTTTGTTCTGGACATGTACACAACAACCAGTCAAGGATTGGTAGGCATGCTCGCATTGAGAGGCGTTGCCATGACAACCAGGCGTTTGCACACAAAAAATCAGCGCGATGCCAACTCTCATCCAGGATCACATGGGCTCGCGTGGGGAATAAATACGAGACAGAGATGCTGGCAGCAGCAAACAGGAACACATGCTGTATATACTTCATGTGCATTCATGATATTACTTTATTATTTCCCCAGTTCGACTATGTTTACACGTTGCACGCAATAAACTGAAAATTAGGAATGAAAGATATTGGAAGAGAGAGACACAGAGATAACCAGAAAGGAAAAGATGATGATGGTGATGATGATAAGAGACATTGGATTTGGGTTAAAGATAGCAAACTGTTATCACTGAAACTGACATCAAAGGCATCGTTGGCATGGGGAAGTATGAAAAAAAAAAGTTTAATTTCACAAGTAATCTCCAGCCCTTAGGCCCGTGGGTAAAACAAAACTCTGTGAAGTAGATGAATTTAGCTAATCTCTTTCGCACAGCTTCAGGGGATCACAGAGGCACAGGGATAGAAAATGACTCTGGTGCCTGGTTTGGCGCTTACATTTTATGAAACAGGGTCATCTCATTTCTCTCATATACCGAGCATAGATCGCTGTATGTCTGTCAAGAACAAAAAGTGGTATCCAAGATAAAAACTAGCAGGACATTCAGAGAGCGGGGACCTGTGATGTGATTAGGACTCACTCCAAAATGACATGGGTGCTTCCTTGGCCAGTACAACACCTTTTAACACCGTTGGATTAAAATCTGCCAGTAGTTCCTTATTATCCTGCTTTTAAACAGACAAACAAAACAGCGACTGATCCAAAAACACAACTTCTTTGTTGAAACACATCTCCATTAACAGGTTGGAGAAAATGACAGACAACTGTCCCCTGCTCAGATGTTTTCTGTGAATGAGAAGAGACATGGCTGATGTTGCATCAAAACGCACTGCTGATACAGCAGAGGGGAGGGATGATGGATGGGACTTAGTTTGGGAACCAGAAGGTCGCTGGTTCACGTCCCAGATTGGACAAACTACGGAGTGTAAAGTGGTACTTTGAGAGGTATCAGTTTGCCTATTGGGTCTCCTGAGCAAGGGAGTACATGTGGGTGACGATTAAAAAATAATTTGATTTGAATGCTCCACTTCCATATCCTTGGTTTGTGAATGTGTGTGTGTGTGTGTGTGTGTGTGTGTGTGTGTGTGTGTGTGTGTGTGTGTTGCCTAACTCCAGTTTACAAAAAGCAATCCAGTTAGGAGGTGAATTGATTAGCATAATATTTATCAATAATTAAAGCATTTTTTTTAGATATTCTAAAGACATCTATGTATGTTGGTCGATCCACCACGTGATTGTAAACCCACACAATGTTATGACGTTTTACGGAGGAAATGGCCAAGAAAATACATCTTTTTTTTGCTGAACACAGCACCATGCTGTGATTGCATTTTTGCGGATCTGATAAGTTTAAGGACACACACAAACAATCCGGAAAAAGCTGAGCTGACCACTTCTCTCCAGCAGTGCAGTCCAACTGCTGAGTGAAGACAAAACGACCTGGCTCTGTTCTATCTGCTCTGATCTGAAATGCTTCTCCTTGGATCAGCATCAAATGCACCACTTTTAAGCAAAGCACTCATCAAAATATGAGTTTTTCTGGAGCAGTTTTCGTCAACATCAGCCAAAAATCTTTGCGGTGCCGATTATATTTCACAGCCAGTTCCTGCTTTGGATGTTTCCCCGCTATTTAAAGCAGATTATGTTTAGCAGTTATACAAGCAGGAGCTGCACCAATAAGAAAAATGGACAAGCAACATTAGAAGTATTTTTTAAGTGGTTTTAATGATTGGACATGGACATCTTTGCCCTGATACACAGCAGTTTGGCCCATTGCAGCTCATTTTAGTCTATATTCACAACATTAACAGAAAAAACAACCACTTAAATGTCTTTAAAACCTACTGGGGAGATGTACATAATTCTTTCAAAATTCCCACATTTAGTTGTTCTAATGATGGTGATGGATATTGCTGTCCAATACATTGCTCCAAAATCAACCAAAGGTATTCAGTTGCGTTCAGATTTGGAAACTGCAGAGATCAGTGACCTCTGTAAGCAACGCTTCTTAAAACTTTGTGCAGCAGTTTGAGTCACAGTCTTGGTATTAGCTATAAAGTCTGACTCAAGTCCAAATTGGAAACTTTCTGTTGACACCTAAACCATAGTCTTTATAAGCCAATCCCAAATGAAAAGGGGAACTGCATATAGGCAAAATATAACGCATGCCGTGCAGCATTACATGAATGGTGCTGCTGTCACGCATAAGACACATTGATGTCTTCAAGATGTATACTTTTAAAGAGGCTCTTATAGCTCATTCCTACCAAAATAGTGTGTCTTCGATGCAGGCCCGGTTCTACGGGGGTGCATAAGGGTGCATTGCACCCTCAGTTGAGTCTTTATGCACTCTCATTTGAAAAATTAAAAGTGAAAAAAAAAAAAATCTAAAGTGAAAAATATTACATCTATAATAACAATAATAATAATTGTAGTAATAATAATAATAATAATAATAATAATAATAATAATAATAATAATAATATAGTCAAAACAACCAGCCCTTATCGCCAACAGTAACACTGCATCTACTGCAGGTAATAACAGTTCAGATCATGGGGACATTACGTTACCCGCGGCCACTGTCATGGACACTAACGTCCTCCCGCCCGACTCGCCGGCTTTGCCCGCCTCGCCCAAGGAGGCGGAGCAGCCGCAGCCGTCTTCGTTGCCCCAAACACAGCCACCCCTCGGCGGCCTGCAAGTGCCAGAGGACCTCGGCAAAACAGAGCCTGCCCAGGTATATTTAAAAAAGTAACCAACTCGCCTGTACAGCGGGGTAAGGCGCTCATTTTGCAACTCATGGTTTAAAAACAGAGATTGGATGGAATATTCATGTAAAAAAGAGGCCATCTTCTGCTATGCATGTAGACATTTCGGTTCAAGTACGTCAAATGCCTTGACCATAACTGCACCAGAGTACCAACCGCTGTCTCCTGGTCAGTGTTGGGTGTAACGCGTTACAAAAGTAACGGAGTTACAGTAATATATTACTTTTTGCTGTAACGAAGTAATGTAACGCATTACTAATGAAATGTGGGTAATATATTACCCGTTACAATGCTCAGTAACGCAGTTACAACCCATTTTAACCCGAAATTAAATGGTGTTTTGTTGAATGTACTANACACCGTGGGGACCCTACACACTGGTGTAATTTATTTAAGAATTAATAAAATCTAAATTTGACGTAAGTAAAAACATGTATGACAATAAAGAGGTAAAGTGATGAACCAGCTAATCTACGTCACTCTTCACTCCGGCCCATGCAAACCAGCTAAGTAGTACCAAGGCCCCGTGGCTAATTGTCTCTGCCTTGCCCAAGGGCCCAAAGAGTCCTCTCGTCGCGGTATATCATCTTTCGTATCCATATATATTTGGGTGATTTACTGGGTGGGACGGCGACGACGGTTAACCTCTGGGCCCTGCCACGTGAACGCGCGGTAGAACGGTGTCCGTCAGAGAGAAAGTATTGGTAAATACAAATGATAAATATGGTATCGAACGAGGGGTAAAAATTGGGTTAAAAGTTTGCCAACCAAAGTTTTCTACATCAATACTTGATGACGTATGATATTGGTACCTGGAAAAGTATACTTTATTGTAATTAGTCTATTCGTTATCGATATGTGTGTGGTGTGTGGTTCCATTAATATTATTTTATAAACGGCCACATAATAAAGGTAATTAAATAATATAAATATAAATTTATTATATTTATTATATTTAAATTTTATGTAAAATATAAAATGGATATTTTACCCAGAGTACAATGGTTGAGACATTCTGGTTCTCAACAATTTGATCTTGGCCGGGTCTCCGCGACTATGGATTTTGGCGGTTGCCCCAATTTTACATGGGCGATATCTAAAAGTTCCGTGTTACAAGAT